AATTGTGTAAAACTAGAGAAAATGAAAAAAAGGTTTGATACAAAATTTGAATTGCTGGGTCACATTACATCAAAGTTATTAAAAAAAAGAAAAGGTTTTATATAGAATAATATTAATATAAAATAGCAGAAGCACTAATATCCGACATGAAAACATTTGTCCTTTTTGTCTAGTATAGTGATACATTTTGGTAGAAAATCTGAGTGACTGGGACACATCACATGGAAGTTATTGAAAACTACACTAGACTATGCTTCTGTAGAAGAAGCATTGAAGTGGTGCTACAAGATTCATGCTCTTATCAGACTGTTGTCAAGGGGCACTAATCGTCCTCTTACTGCCAACGTCAGGTGAAACTGAGAAATGGTGCAGTGGCTGCATACCACAAAAGTTAACTGGAAGCTAGAAACTTTTTGGGCATATGCACATATATGTGGGGAGAGAGAGAGGGGGGGGGGGGGGGGGGGGGGGGGGGGGGGGGGGGGGGGGGGGGGGGGGGGGGGGGGGGGGGGGGGGGGCGAGGGGCACCAGGGTCTACCACAGCTGATCAGACCCAAGGTGCAGGCTGTGTAAAGATGCCCTTGAGACAGTCCAGCACATAGTGGCAGGGTGTAAGATGCAAGCAGGATCAGTGTACATGGAGAGGCACAACTAAGTGGCTGGGATAGTGTACAGGAACATCTGTATCCCAATGGGACACACCACCAAAACCAGACATAGTGGTGGTTGACAAACACCAGGAGAGGGCAGTGGTAGTAGATGTGGTGATACCAGCCGACAGCAACATCAGAAAGAAGAAACACAAAAAGGTGGAGAAGTATCAAGGGTTGAAAGAACAGCTGGAACAGATGTGGAGGGTAAAAGCTGACGTGGCCCCCGTGGTAGTAGGAACACTCAGGGGAGTGACCCCCCAAAGTGGGAGAGGGGGTCCGGCAGATTCCAGGAACAACATCTGAAGCCTCAGTCCAGAATTGTGCAGTCCTAGAAACAGCTAAGGTACTGTGCAGAACCTTCAAACTCCAAGGCCTCTGGTAGAGGATCCAAGCTTGAGGGTGATACAGATACCACCCTAAGAGGCTGAGAGGATTTCTTTTTGAATATATTTAAACCTTGAGTCTCCTTGAGACCTTGAGTTAATGGCCATGACACATTTTTTACCATAATCTGCAACATATTTGACAATACTCTTTATGGACAGTGTAATGGTGGCTTGTTTTAGTGCTCATTTCTACAAATATATGTGAAGACATTTGGAAGAAGAGTGATCACAAACTCCATTCTTTGTTGACCAAACAATGTGATGTGTGGAATACAGGTCTCTCAGGCTGCTGCAGAACTGAAGACCTTCTGTTTGCAAAATGCTCACAAAGACCCTCTGCTCACTGGGGTGCCCTCCAGTGATAACCCATTCAGGCCACCAAAGTCATGTGTCCTCCTTTGATCCTCTGACATGTGAGTGTGGCTCTCTTCACTTTGCTTGAATTGATCAGTTATTTCTAGATTCTCAAGTTTTTCTTTTCTGCCTTTCTATTACTTTTAATTTATCTCATGCAACTGCTAAACAGTGTCTCTGTTGTCTTTTAGAGCACAAGACACATCCCTTCAAGCTACATGTATTTTTTTTTTTCTTTTAGGGCTGTGAAGAAGTACAAAACACTCAAACAGATGCCTGGTCATTTTGCACTGTTGATCTCTGCCATGTGCTCCACTTCCTCTGAAGATAAAAAAAGCCAAGACAAGAACACTTACTCACTCACATGCGCACACAGGCACACACACGCACACAAACACACACATGCTACTAAGAAATGATGCTGATGAATTTAGCTGTGTGCTGTAACTGTAGGTAATGTACTTACTATGACAGGATGTGTGTTTCTAATGGCAACCACTGGTGTCGTGTTTTGCTTTTTTTAGGTTTAGAGGTAAACACAACAGGCCTTAAACTCACTCTGTTTTGATGAGCATACCCATTTTACAGCCAAACTACACTTTTTACAGTGGGTCATTGGACAAATAAAGCCTGGAGTTGATGACTAAAAAATCTTGTTAAAGTCACATTGGAAAGATATCAGAGTCCTATCTGATTTATTTCTATTTATGAACATCGTGCAAAGCAGATCTTACAAAAATAAAATGGATTCCATGTTTTTTCTTTTGTATGTGCTTGTAATACATATTCAGTCTGTGCCACGTGTAAGAGAAAAATTAAACTAGATAATCTATTCCCCTTTTTAAAGGATTCTATCAACCAATGGCATTTTGTAGCTATTGATTCCTGTCATTTATTTCGAAGAAACAGGAGCCTTTAAATAATCATTCATTTTGTACCTGCTAGGCAGAAATACTTCATAAAACAAAAGGAAACATTTGAAAGGGAACAGAGGAGGTATGGAAACCTGATAAGCTGATGTAAGTTGATGGATATTGCCAATCTTGTGTGAACACACAGCTCAGTTCAAAATTTCATCTTATGTGCGCTGTTATTATTCACCATTAAAAGCTGCCACGTGGTTGTTTTTGTTATCGGTCTGTGAAACTGTATCTGGCATGAATTTGCTATCTTAGTTTTAACAATATTAACTAGACCAATAATGTTGTGTTATCTGCCTCCCATCCACTGACCCTCATGTCTCATGATTACACAAAGCTTCATGTGTAATCAGTGAGCACGGTTACATGCGCACAATAATCAGATAACTGGGAATAATCAGATAATGGTAATAATCCGATTTGATGCGTTTACGTGCACTTCAATAATCTGATAATCAGAAAAACCTGGTTTACATGATTCAGTCCTTCAGTTGGATTTCTCCCCAAGTACATGATATAAAACTCAAACTTCCTGTTACAGTAGGTACTCATATCCTTGAAAATAATACCAAGTCATATATTTGCAGAATAAAGCACTCATCATGCTGACAGCTTATATTCTTACAGTACTGTTTGTTTTTATCATTAACAAATACATGTGAGAGCATTCTAATGTGTAGTTTATCAATGTGGAGCCAATTTTACATACTTTGGGTAGATTCGGAGTAAAAGTACTGCAAAGTGCAATATACAAGTGTATTGTAT